AAAAGGAAAAAATAGGAAAAAAAATTCAGCAACTTCATAGGACATAATTTTGTGCTCTTTTATGATAAAGATAAAATCAACTGTTAAGTAATTAGCTGGCAGTTCACGAGTTTCCCAATAAACTCAACAAAGAATTTTGATATTATCTGTACCACGACATGTTTTTAAAAATAAGCATACTCGATTTTCAATAAAGATTTACAAGTTCATTTTTACACCATGCTTCTGTATACAAAAACTTGCTGAGATGCACCTTTCTAGACATTTTGAACCTGAACATTTCAGGATGAAATCTGAGACCCTTGTTCAAAAGCATCTGTTTGAAATGCCATCTGTGAGAAATCAGGGAACACCTTGTCTTGCTCAGACATGGTCAGTCATTCTCTTTTGTCCTAGAGAAGTGATCTAGCAGCTAAAGGGCTGAGCAGTTACAGTTACTGAAAGCATTTAAAGGAAGATACTGGAGACAGTTTCAGTGAGATGAGTATTTTGATCATGTTAAGCATCCACTGAAAACTTATTCAACCCCAAATCAAACCACATCGGTTCTCCCTTGCCCTGGGGGAGTCAAAATACCACTCCCTGGGCAACGAAGCTAAAAGTTAAGAGCTGCCTATTTGCATATAATTTTCAGTCACCAAATTAATCACTGCTGTTACATGATACTTAAATACTGGCTAGGCCAGTAAAAAGATATTTGAGATTCTGTCCGAAAGAAAAAAAAAAATCTTCGCACTAAAGATGAGACTTCGGCTCTGTCCCCAAACGACTTACACATACCTCCGACAGATGCAATCCATGACCAGGGAGACCACTGGACTTGGGAGAGAGGGAACCGCAGCCCGTGAGCTCCTCCGGCAACTTCTGGGAAGAGCGCTTGTAACAGCACGTCTGTTAATAAATTGACAGCACAAGGCTCTCCTCTGGGGAAAAGAAAAGACAGAAAACGCTGGACTATACAGTTGGCTTTAGATTCCGGAGCTCTTTCTTCGACTCTACCTCTTCCTAAATGACGCTTGTCTTTCCCTCTCTCTCTTTTTATTTCCTCCCCTGCCGGATTGCCCCTCCCTGCCACTTTTTTTTTTCCTTCGTTCTTTTCCTTGCCAGCAGATTCTGAGCTTTGGCTTCCCCCAGCTCTGCTCAGTGACTTGATAAGTCAGAATCACTCTAGAGTCCCCAGAGACAGAAGCCAGCTTTTACTTTTATTTCTCTTGCAGCAGTTACTGAGTACACCGCTTTGCGTTACTCATTTTTTCCCCAGCCAACCTCCAGATCTTCCTCCCGCCCAGCAGGCATTTTCATAAGAAAATCCCCGAGTCAGCGTTGCAGATCCAGTGGAGGGGACACAGCCGAAGGGACAGATGCTTTTAGGGCATCAGGAACAGCTGTGAAGTCATCGGGCAGCTGAATCCAGCCTCTAAACCAGCAAAAATCCATGTTCTTAGGTTTCCCAAGAATTATTTATTCATATATGTGTGCTGGTCATAGAAAATTTTCTTAAAATCCCCCTTATTTGATGCTAATTCATTTAGGAAAGAGGGTGGTAGATACAAATGTTTGTGGTTAAGGGGGAAAACCAGTCATCCTGATCTAAACAGGATGATTACTCATGCTAGGAAGTGAGTGACTTTGGTGATGCCGAAATCATCATCGTCACCATCGCTGTCATTTATAGAGCATCTATTATGCACATGGCACATGCAAGGTGCATGCATTAACATGAATTCTCACTGGTTTACAAATGAGTGTATAAATAGTTTATAAATGAGGCTCAGAGAGGTTAAGTAATCTGACAAAGTTCACACAGAAAAAGAGAAAGCTTTGGTTTGAATGCTAGCCTTTAATGGGCACCTAAATGAGATAGGGAGCTTGTTAAATGTAGATTCTGATTTAGCAGATCTGTAGCAAATTCCTGTCTGTTGCCAATCTGCTGCTCTCTGACCCATTTTCAGGGGCAAGACATTTGAAACATTCAAACATATGGCTTGATATGTCACACTTTCAAACAATAAAGTTAAAGGTCTATTTCCCACTCCCTCGCTCCAATGGACTTAGAGCTTTAGACTTCCTTACAAATAAGCTATTAAAAATTTAAAGCCCCAGATTGTCTTCCTGGGGGAAATGAGATAATACTGGGTGACAACTTAAGCTCGTTCCTAACACTTCTGTAGCTAAAAGTTATCCATCCTCTATTTTTTAATCTATTCAAGTTTGAATAACTTCTTCCCAATTGATATAATTAATACTACAAGTATAAATTAAATCTTGAAAGAGACTTGTTTTCTTCTCTCTCTTGAGTTGTTCACTTTGTCTAGCTCTGACAGAGGGCACGGATATTCTGACATCTCTCCTCCATTCCACAATGGTCTGCTCTTTCTGACCTTGTCCAGTAACAGTACCTTGGTGATTTTGTCATAAAAGGAGAGGGTCCAGAAGTCCGTTTTTCTAGGATGGAAACCAGAGAGAGGGCTTCATCATTAAAAAAAAAATTACAGTTGGAAAGTTCCTACATCCTGGCTGAGTGCGGGGAGCCTAGCCTGCTGGGGAGGATGAGTGCCTGGTGGGCTTCTGGCCATCACTATCCTTGAACGTCTAAAATGGGGGTGTAAAGGGACACAGCCGTCATCCAGGAGGAGTGCTGTCACCTGGTGTTTGAGATAGGGGATAATTAGAACCAGCGTGTTTCAGCACTTGCCAGCAAAGCCCTGGGAAGATGGGGATACGGGGGCCACTGGTTACATAATCAGAGGTTCTTGCCAAGCTCCTTATGAGAGCAGCAGTCTTCCCACAGCGAACTGCGGCCTTTGGAGGCAATTCCTCTCTGCTTCCTAGCAGGGGCCCCTTCCCCACCCGCCAAATAATCCAGTAACCTCACTGAAGCTCTGAATATCACCTTAGCCTGTTGAAGATCATGTTCCCCCACTGCCAAAGGCAGAGGTAGATGATTTGAACTTATTCCAGACAGAAGCCGGAGGCACCTTTTTCCCACAGTGAGCTTTTGGCTGAATTCATAATGAGGGGCAGTGAGTGTATCTGTGTGCTGGGAGCACAGCTGGTCTGTCATTATTGCTCCTAATGCCAAAGCTTTCTTTAGCCTTTTCAGGCTTCAGATGCTACATTCACCTTAATTCTTCTTAACAGTGTGCACATCTGCCCCACTACACAGATGCGCATCCCCAGACTCTAAGTAGACAGCTGATGTTTGCACTGATAAATACAGAGAAGTAGAAAGCTTAGGCATAAAGAAGAAATTGTATCTAAAGAACAGATAACTCTCATTATACCCTTGAATGCCTGAAGTTTTAAGTGACTTTTCCCTCTTCAAATTAAAATTCAAAGAGAATTCCTATTGATCAACCCCTGAAGTCTTTGAATGATTCCCCCCACCCCGCTCCGTGTCTATAAGATATTAAACACTCCTCCGAATGCTTTAAGGGACACCTGTCCCCAAATGCAAAATTTCATCCACAATGCAACCAGCTTGCTTTCTGCAAGACTTATTTCAGAAGGGAGAGGAAATCTTTCTGGTTCTTTTTAAACACATGGCTCCAGGAGATTCCTTTATGCTTGGAGAACTTTTTGAAAGCTTCCAATTCATGAATGAAATCTATATTCCCCCCACCCCACCCCACCCCTCCGTAGACATTTAACATTTCCCTCCCAGATCTTTCAAAAACCAAGGCAAAGATCCTTACCTTTCCCAGCCAGAATTGGACTGAGACAGCTGCCAGCTCTGGCCAACAGCTACCCAGAGAGGGGGATGCAAATCGCTGCACTAGGGACCGTGAACAAAGTACTCAACAGGCTTACACACAATTAAGGGACCGGAGAAAAATTGGTGAGAGGAAATCCCTTAAGCGCTACTGTATTTTCTTCTATGACAAATACAATCCACTTTTTTTTTTTAAAGGGAACCAAGTTTGGAAAGTGTCCTCCTTTGTTTTTCTTTCTTTGTATCCTCATTCGGGCTTTCATTTTCAAGGTTTTTCCCTAACCAAAGCACCATTCTGATACTATCCCTCTGTAACACTGTTAACCTGCAGAAAAGAATTTGTAACCCTTATTCTATACTTCTAGGAGGCTCTGGAGTGGAGGGAGGATGAAAGGGGGGAGTGAGAAAACAAACTAATTTTTTTTCACCATAATATGCAAGTAATGAGAGGAATAAAAGAAGAAAAGGATTGATGGCGAAACAGTATTTGGCGCCTTGCGTGGGCAGTCTCCGTAAAGCCAGGCGAGAGGTCCTATGAGTGCTGTCCATCAGAGGGCGACAAGGCACCATGAAAACGGTGGTACACTGGACGGTCTGAGCGACCCAGGCAACCTTCCACCAAAGGCATCTTAAAGAGCAGGGTTAGGAACACTCATTGTTCTGGAGAAAACTCCTCCAAATTAAAAAAAAAAATCTCATTTTACTTAGAAACAAGCCAGAAACAAAGTTACTTGAGTGAGCGGGGTGTAGAAATGAAGGAGGAAGATGGCGAGTATCATAACAAAGATTTTCGCCTCTTTCCCTTCAGGAGGCACCAAAGGTTCAGTTTCCCAACTGGAGAGGGTAACATTTTGATTTTGCCACTGGGTAGATGCCGTTGAAGACCTAAGAAATTTCTCCTTTGGAGACACACACACTTTTCATTTTGTGAGGAGCAAACCCACGTGCATTCAATTACTCGCCCGTATTTACATATTACAGTTTGCTTTTGCTTGGTGTGGTTGAGTTGGTTCATTTCCAGCAGCCCTGAAGATGCCAGCTCCTCCTGGCCCTCTGTCCGTCCAATCACCACATGCCTTTGATCTCGGTCATCACCTAGTCCAATTGGATTCAGTGAGATTCAGGAAGCTGGCCAGTTTTTCTCCTTTCCAATGCTTCTTTTAAGGGTGTGTCTGCATTTCTGCTCTGAAATCATGGACATTTGGGGAAGCGATCTGTGCTTGTGTGTTCATTCTGGATAACAGGCTATGTTATTACTCCCCCCTCTCCCCACCCCAAGGCACTTCTCTTCGAGGTCTAGGACCTTAAATAGGGAGATCTGAAAGTACCAAGTGGAAGAACAGGTATGCCTTAAATCTGTATTTTACTATCTGCTGATCAGTTTCCAATTACCCAAAACTCATAACATCCAGGTGGATACAGAAAGGAAAACACACCTCCTGGTCACCATTCTCTTACCCATTTTGTCCTGAGTCACTATGAAAGATCGCAGAAACATTTAAAAAAAACCAAAAAACAAAAAAAACAGAGTTGCTGACATCAAATAACACAGTGGGACCTGAGGGACGGATGAGAAAATTCTCTCTCATTTCAGCAAGAACTGATTGTCATTCTGGCCTCAGACGAAAAGAATGGATTTTCTTGTTTCGAAATCCAAATTTATGCTGAAACAGCTATGAGCCTGATACATCCCCATGTACCTTGCACAATCCTTTATACTGATATATATTCTTCCTTGGAGGTGTAAGATGCGAAGCTCAGAGGTAAAGATTTACAGCAAGTTGTGTCAATACTTTCCCCAGAAAAGGTCACAGCCCTTGAGTCAGCGCCCCCTAGTGGGCTCCGGGTCATGTATTTAGGGGCTTGTGGAGCCCACCATTTTGACTTTTCCAGGGAAGGGAAGGGACCAAAACGCCCTCGCCCCTTTGCCACTCCTCTTGGTCCCTGATAATACGGCGCCATTCTATGCCTTTTTACAGAAAGAATTGCCCCTCGCCTCTGATGACAAATGTCAGTTTCCATAAAATGTGCAGCAACACTGTGTGAGCCCAGTCCACTCCTAATCAGCACAAAATTTCTAGGCTTCAGCAGCAGCCTGGTGCTGGGGATTTGAAACTGCCTTGCAGCGTGTAACGTTTTCTAAAAGCCAATAATCGATGGCGCTCTGTAAGGGTCAGCCAGCTTCTCTTTGTGCCATATAGATAGAGCGGAACGGATCTTCTGACCTGATTTGCTAGTTCCCGGTTGTGTGGCACGTGTCCTAAAATGACCAGGGCAGGATGGGTGCACCCAGTCTGGCCCTCCTCCAAATAATGGAACATTCAACCATAGGTTTTTAAGCTCTGTGCTTGAGTAAGAGGAACGTGAGTTTATTTTCACAAGTAGTTTTGGTTATCTCCTTTTTTTTTTTTTTGGAGAAAGAAATGGGGATACAGAGGATGTCCCTGTTCCCAGGTCTAGCTCCAGGGCCTGGGCTGCTTCATTCTGAGTCAACCTACACCAGATGCCCAGCTTGAAGTGGAGAGAACACAATATCGCTTATTACGTGTCTAATATGCACCGTCGATACACAGACCCTATCTCTGTATTTTTATTTTGCTAGTGAGGAAGCCAAAACTCAGCAGGGTTGAGAATTCCCTTACTTGGAGAAAGAAGCAAAACCAGGATTCAAGTTCAGATGCCTCTTTTAGGTTGCATTGTGAGGATTCTGTTGCTTATTAATTAGATTATGTGTATATTTGTAAATTTAGCCCAACTGCCCTTTTTTGGGTTCCAGATGACATACTTGTAATAGGTTTAGTTTCAGAAAAGTGCTCTGAAAATGGGTACTTTCTAGGGTGATTAAACCATGAATGTTGCCTCATACACATCTGGATACTGAAGTAAAGTTGCATTACTGAGCAGATTTGGGAATGTTTGAGAACCAAACCTGGTCCCAATGGAGTCTGTAAAAGTTGAGCCATTTCAGAAATCACCCAGGCCATTCCTCTGCTTTCAGGAACATTTCGGTTCCACTAATATTTACTGCACACCTTTTGGGTGCCAGGAATTTTTTCAACCTTCTACCTGAGTAGATGCAACCCAAGAAGCAAAGCATGGTCTCTGCTCTCCAGGAGCTTTTGGTCCAGGACAGGAAATCCAGGGGGACATCAGTGTGCACAATCTTTCTGCTAGAGGCCATCCCAAACTGCTACAGAAGGCCCCTGGATGATTAAAGCGGTCTGGTGGAGGTGGGAGGGAAGGCTGCTGTGTCGGCTGGTACTTGACAGTGTAAGTGAGGAAGGAGGGAAGGCAATTCTAAGTGGAAGGAACAGCCTGTATATAAGTGAGCACAGAAAAGTGCAGTCTTCTACAGAGAGCTTTGAGTAGCCCATGTGGCTGAATTTGAGAGAGCCCAGGGCAGACTGGGAACAGTCCAGCAAAAGACTGGAAATGGTGACTAGTGAGATCATTGCTTCAGTGTTTGGACTTTGGAGAGCAAAGCTGAACAGGATGGCATAGTCAGCTCCGTGCATTGTCAGTAGTGGCTTGATTAGAGTGCTGGGATGCATGGGAATGCTCTGGGGAGAGTCAAAACAGGGAAGGCAGAAAGTAGACCAGTTAGGAAACCTTTGTGATGGTCCCAGTGAGAGTGCCGGTGATCATGGGAAAGGAATAGAATCAACAAAACTTGGCAGTGAATTTCATGGGCTGAGGTTATCAAGGGAGAGGGGTCTGTAAGGTTTTTAAGCCTAGGTAATTAAGAGCTTATTGATACATCAGCAGAAGTAGAGGCAGAGCAAGGAGCAGGCATGGGGTGGAGGCACTTAGTTTGTTTGGTTAGCCCAGCTCTCCATTTCTCCAGCGGAGAGGCGTGTGCCAGACCAAGTCGCATTGCTGCCTGACTACAGATTCGTGAAGCATTGTCTGAGTTTCCAAATAGTGCCGTTTTGGGCTCACAGATGAATGTTCCACTAGAATTATGATTGAATTTATAACTCACTTCATTTTATGCCCACACACAAAATTGCAGACACTCAGGCAATATACAGACATGATTTGAGGTTGCTAACCTTCTGCCTAGAACAAGAAATAAATATTTTAAGAATTCTAATTGGAACCTTTAATAGGACTGACTATATGCAAATCACATACGGATTCAGTTTTAAGGCCAATTTTAAACTCCTCAGAAACAAGAAGATAACTATGCAAGTATTTTTGTACAGTGCCTAGTATGGAAAAAGTACCTCTGCGATGTTTTCTGGGAATGAAAGTGTTTTTCCCTCCCATTAATCACTACCCCAAAGTACTACTCACAGACAAAGGTACATACAGAAAGTTCCAGTCACTTCACATGTGGAGAAACAGCCTTTGTCTTACCAAGAGCTAATTTTATATCGCCCTGTGAATTAAAGATTTATTCGGTTTCTTTTTTTTTTTTTAAAGCAGTCCCACTCCAATTATGGATTTCTTTAGAAATGTCATGTTTTGGGCCTCGTGCAATATAAGCAAGGCTTCCTATTGGGGTTTTCCAAGACCACGTTGGTTGGAATACCTCCCATAAATTCCCGAAAGATAATACCAGTAACTGTGCGTGTGTGTATGGAAAGTCTTTGCCAAATAAATGAACAAATAAATAAAGAATGACTGTACATTGAAATCAGATATAAGTTTTTATTTACTCGTTTATTTTGTTAAGTGCAGGTAAGGGGGGATGGAACCCAGGACCTTGTGTGTAGTGAGCATGCCACCACTGAGCTATCCCCTCCCCACCGAAATCAGATATAATTCTGAAAACTGAGATCATTATTCAAATGGAATATTTCAAAGTGTCCACGTACTTAGTGCCAACAGTACTAATTACCCAATTATGCCTGATAATTATTCAACGATTATTGGCATTTTCCCAGTATTCTTTGGATGGTGCGTACCATGTAGACCCAACAACAGGCTCTATCTAATAAACAAATTTTTACTGAACACTTACTTTATGTGCTATAACTTTTATAGATTTATTATGTCAACTTAATACTTGTAAATAATCCAGAGGTCAATATCAGATAGTTTCATT